ACAAAGCAGTAATGTCACCCTGCAATGCCCTCTGCTGGGAGATGCGACTCGGAGCTCGAAGGAGTGCTACCAGTTCACGTCCTCAAGCAAGGAACAGATACTTGCAATAAGGTGGGCTGGATTTTCACCTTCTGTGTGAAATTCTGACCCCGCTGAAATCAGTGAGGTTCTACCTTTTAATTTTCACTTTGCCCTTAATCATTCCCCCTTTTGAAAACTGCACTGTTACTAATTATACTGGAAAAACACCTCTTTATTTCAAGTCCAAATAAAAACCTCATTACTGATTTAGAGACATGAAGATCTCTTTTTAGCATTTATTGAGCTCCTAGAGAGAGGTTTTGTTAGGAAGCTTTCAGCTGCAAAAGACATTGTTCCTCTTGACATTCTTCTAATTCTCTTTAACTGTAAAATCCTGCACAAAATCACACATGCAAATAGCATTCATGTCACACAGGTGTGATTCTGCCTAACATATATTTTCACTGAACAGGATTCTTGTGCTGGGAAAAGGAAGTCAGGCAAATGCTACGCAGTAAAACAAAGGAGTATATCTGGAACCTGATGTGTGAGAACGCCAACCCTGACAACTGCCACCTCCGACTCCCTCTGAGATGCAGCGTCCTGAGGCCTGAGGAAGAAAAATCTGGATTGGCCCTGCGAGGAGTGGGATACTAAGCATGGAGTTCAAACAAACAGCAGTCTTGTCCCTCGCATGTTTACTGGCACCACAACCCCACGGCTTATGGGCTAGTTATTCCCAGCTGGAAAATCATCCCTGAAAAATATTTTCCAGCCTTGGCAAGGGTGATGTAACACTACCGCTGCTTTGGTTTCAGCTCCTGTGTCCCTCAGCAAGGATGGTCTTGTGTGATGTTTGTCTCTCACCACAGCTGTGCAATGGGCAGCAAGTAGGAAGAATTTTTTCACAATAGCCTCTGGTTCTCTCTGCTGGACGCTTGCTCCTCACTAGTCATGTTCCACAGCTTAGGTCCTTCCTGGAAGGCCAATTATTTTATACTTACTACTAATTATTATTTCTATCTTTTAAATGGAAACATTTTTTCCTTGTGATGAGATGTTTCCTCTGCATTAACCTGCTTTATCACCGCGTGTCTCCCTCTGCCCTGCTTTACAGTGACAGACACCCTTGGTGCCAGGAAATGCAGGTGCAGTAAAGCCACATAGTGCCTGGCAACACCATTTTTATTTGAAGTTACACATAATTATCATTGATTTGGAAGTGTGGCCTCCTTGATACACAGTCTTACAAGCTAACAGGTTTTTTTCCAGAAACAACTTTACAGTGTTTGTTATGCCCTCATGGAGTTTGAAATGTCATGGTTATAAGCAGTTTTCAGGACTACGCCAGCTTCATTAAAAGGCCCCCAGACAAGTATTTTTTTGCTTTGTATACTGTGCTGAAAAACTTCTGCTTCCCTTGGGAAGTGCCACACTGTTGCATTCATTTGAAATGAGCATGTGTGGCTATAAACATACAAAAATACGTTTAGCCCTGACAGCAAGGGCTCAGATTATCACTTTGACACTTCCCTGCTCTTTTCAGGAATATCTTCCTTTGCAAGATAACTGGATAGCCCAGGGACCAGTTGGTGGGTGCTCACATACCCTAACCCTGAAATGATTAATTCGAGGGAAGGTTGGAAGTAACTGAAAGTTGTTCCAGTCCTGATGCCAGTCTGGTCCCTCATGGGTGAGGCAGCTGTGCCAGAAAACCAAACTGAAAATCCACCCTCGGAGCTGGCACCTTTGAGGAAGGATTGGCAGTGAAGTCCAAGACTGAATTGGCCTCCCGCTTAAACTGTCCTCTGATCCAACACTGTCTCTCAACATCACAGACGAATATCGTTATATGAGGAATCTTGCACACACTGCTATTTTTGCTGCCAAACAGTCTTTCAAGAAGTTGTCTCCCAATCTGATACCTTTACACAGAATAATTTCATCCACAGAAATTCTTGCTAGTGGTTAAATTATGGCCAAAAATCTACATTCAGCCTGAATTTGCTCATGTTGATGCATTGTACCGCTACTGGAAAATAAGTGTGGTGCCACTCAAAATTATATTATACTGGAATGTGACCAGGAACAGGATTAGAGCAATATCCTGTGACTAGGAACAAGGAGTTGAACTGGTTCTACATTTTCTGGAGGCAGCAGAACACCTTGGTGTGAGGCAGTCACTGTGGTACCTCCATCCTAGCTTCTGGGGCAAGAGATGGGAAGGCAGAAGGGGCTGCAACATGCCGTCACCACATCAAAAAGAAGATGCAATCTTCCTGCAATCACTTCCCTCCTGGCTGACAGTGGGTAGCACTAGGAAATGACAGCTTTGGCATTCCCTGGCTCTGATGACCACTATATCATCTGAGCCCTGGAGAGTTCATCATCCAAAGAGGGATGAGGAAAGCTCCACTTAGGCTTTCTCTGGTTCCCAGAGAAAACAAGAGGCAAATTAACATCCTGCCCCATGAAGGTTTTTTGTCCTCATCATTATGGTGGCAAAATCCAGTTTTATCAGCACTGCTGAGAAAGCTTGCAGTAGCTTGAGGATGAGAGAACATGATGGCTTTCACCCAGGACAGCCTTCCAGCTTTCTGTCCACTCTTCCTAGGGATTCAGTGAGAAAGTATCAAAAAAAAAAAAAAAAAAAAAAAAAAGCATCATCATCAGACAAAGTGGTTATTCTGTACTTTTCCAGCCTTCAGCAGTCAGTAACCTTTCTGTTTGCACCAATATAAGCCCCAAGCAGTCAGTGGGAGACATGATTTGCACAAGCAAATTCACTCATTTCCTAAGAGAGGGCAAAATTCAGGGCGTGACCTCAACTCCTTTCTCTGGCCACAGTTTAGCTGAAGGCCCAGTATGTCAGATTCACCTCGGTGCGATTCCAGGGACTGGTCTGGAATCAATTTGACCCAGTAAGTCTCTTCGATTGCATCAGGCCTTTCAGAAGTTTTGAACAACAAGGATCTAAACAGCAGGCATCAATCTGAACAAAAACAATCTTTGCAGTTTAAGGAATTTTTAAAGGTCTGTGCCTTTTTTTTTTTCTTTTCTTTTTTTTTTCTTTTTGGTTTCAAATGCTTTCCAACTGAGTAAATGCTGCAGCGGGTTCATGGGAGAAGGCCTTGAGGCACCCCTGACTTTGGCACTGTTATCCCATAGACACTCCATACATTTTTGGCACCTTGCAGCAGACACACTGACAGCCACAGGATTGATGGAAAGGGAAAGAAGCTGTTTTGCAGTCAAAAGAGAATGTACTCGGATTTCTAAGGCCATTTGAAAAAATGCCAGAATGATACTGGATTTCGGCATTCTTAAGCTCCTTTAAGATGATGCAGCAAGTGGTCTTTTCCACATGTGATGATGTATTTCAGGACAAGAGTTTCTTCAAAATTTTCCAAGCCTGTGGGCTCCTGATCCTTTTTCAAATTACAGAGATGATAGCATACCAGGGAGAATTGTGATTAGTTTAAACTCTCCACAGCTGCAAGAGATGAATGTAAAAATTCCACCCAAAAAATCTACTTCTTCTGGATTGAATTTACCTACATGACACCGAGTCCTGACCAAGGGACCATTTAAAAGAGCTGGAGCAGCATCAACACTATTTAGTTTCTTCCATCACATCAACCCAGGGAAGGCTCACAACTGTTCTACCCAACACATCTCCCGCAGCAGCACTGCCATGTTACGGGCTAGGGTATTAACAGAGCCCGAGGTGCATGGGGAGGAAAATGGAACCATGAAATAAAAGCTTAAGTACGAGGGAATTCAAACAGGGCTTGCAACTCATTACTTGGAATCCCAGGAGAATTGTAAAACACCTTGTAACCGAGAGGCTTTGCTTGGAGCTGTTAAGGACTGCAGCCCCCACTTCATCACGGGCTGACAAATTTTGAACGGTCTTGGCAAAGGGGGCGTGCAAGCACTGAGTTTTCTGTCTCAGCTAACCTGAGCAGACGGCAATGCTTTGTTTTGCTTAACAGGACCTCTCTCTCTCTAAATTGCTTCCTTGGGTTTCTAATCAAATATAATAACATACAGTATTCACCTCCATCGTTTGTCTCAAAGCGACAGCATTGACAACGCTGGCGGTGTGCCCACCTCGAGACATCTGACCTTCCGTTTGTCTCTGAAGACGGAGGAGGCCGCAGCACGCATTGGAAGTCCAGTGACTGACACCTCCTGCATTTGTCTGGATTTATTAACATGGCGGTGGACGATACCCTGTTTTATGGGACTTCCCTCAAAAATGCTAAATAAAGTAAAAAAAAAAAAAAAAAAAAAAAAAGAAAAGAAAAGAAAAATCCCACTTGCTTAAGTTGTCTCTTTGTCAGTGAAAGGCAGGCCTGTAGTACTACCGCATGAAGCCCCAGAAACTCCACGGCCAGGTGGGAGTAGCACAGGGCCCCAGCCACTTCCCTCAGCGCCCTGGCTGAAACCGGCCAGAACTGGCCCGAACCGGTCACCCGCCCCTCAGCCCAGGACTGCCAGCCTCCCCCCGCCCGCGCCGGAGCCTGCCCCACCGTACCCCAGGGCTGTAGGGGACCTCTGTCTGGGACAGCACCTGGTTTTGAGGGGCCTTCTCTCAACAAGCGTTTCACATGTACGCAAAAACCCCCCAGGTTTCTCCCATGGGACTTAGAGAAGTGTGACCATTTCTTTTTTGCTCTAAACAGCCCGCTATAGAGCGAACTGACCGAGGGCACAATCCAGCCCGCGTAAACTCTGTTGTTAGGCCTAGTGGGGTAGGGAAAGGAACCTTTGCATGCGTAGTCGTGGCCGAGTGGTTAAGGCGATGGACTAGAAATCCATTGGGGTCTCCCCGCGCAGGTTCGAATCCTGCCGACTACGACCGGAGTGTAAAGCGTCTGGACTTCGGGTTTTTTTTTTTTTTTTTTTTTTCCACACCCCCCTCATTCTCGCCTCACCGAGGATGGCGGAGCAGTAGACGAGGCGGGCCGGGGGGCTCGGCGGCGGACGAGACCCACAGGCGCCCCCCCCCACACACACACACCCCCCGCCGGGAGCGGAGACACCGCCCCTGGGCGGTGCGGGGCCGCCTTGGCAACGGCCGGCGGCGGCAAGATGGCGGACGACTTGGATCGGTTACTGGACGAAGTGGAGAGGCGGCTCTGCCGCCTGCCGGGGCGCGGGGCGGCGGGCGGCTACCGGCGCGGCGGCGAGGCGGCGGCGGCGGCGGCGGCGGCGGAGAGCAGGTCAGCGGTCCCGCCTCGGTCCCGGCCCCCGCCCGCACCTCCCCGCCGAGCGGGGCGGCCGCTGGTGTGGCGCGCGACCCGCCCCTCCCCCGGCCGGGGGCAGCCTCCGGCGGGACCCCGCAGGAACCGAGAGCGCCGAGGTCCGGGAGCCGAGGCCCTGGCCGGCAGGCAACGAGTGTATCCCGTAGTCCTTATTTGTAAACACCCAAGTCGTGTGCCAGCGAGCTGAGTTACTTCAGGTAGTCTTTGTCTCTTGGGAGTATCCCAGCCTTGGATTAAATATGGCGTTAAAAGCTGCGCTAATTTGCTTGTGAGTTAGGATCGTGGTTACTTAGCTCTGTAGCTGACCTCGTGATATATATAAAATATCTATAAATCTTGCGACTTAGAGCAGGAAGAACTTTAGCAATAGTACAATCGAACATTTTGTTCTGTTGATGGTTCGGTCATTTATGTATTCTGTTCATACCTCTATTAACTCTGTCTTCTACAGTAAGCACTTAACTTAGACTCTGCATTTTTGTGTATCCGCTTCAAATTCCGCAATTTTCAGAATGGTGGTCTGAACACCAACAGGTTTGGTCGTGACAGGATCACTGCTGCCAGGCGCTCTGCCACACAGCTGCCTGCCCCCAGGTTTCCATCCCAGCTCGCAGTTTTCCATCCCTGGTGTCTCAGACTCCGGTTGGAAGGCCTGTGGACCGGAGGGGTTTGGTCAGATATCTCCACGGGTGGGCTGCAGAGCACTTACCCAACAGGCGTCTCAGGGTCCCTCTCAGGCAAGGATCTTGAAGAGCCAGATGATTAATACGAGACCAGCAAGCTCACTGCCTTTGGCCACATGGCTGGACTTCCCTGTTGTTTGCGTAATGGTTCGATGGGCACCAAAATTTAGTCAATCTAATTACAATATTTTTAAAAATCACAGTTTTCTTCTTTCTCAGCAGTAGACGTGTTCCAGATTGGTTGATGCAGTAGTACTACAGGTCTCCCTTTCTTTGACAAAGAGTTAGCAAACAGCAGACTTCAGTGACAAGATTCCACACTTGAGTGAAAACAAAGTGCAGGTGATCTCTCTAAATGCATACAGTTTGGCAGGAATTCCTTCAGAACCCCTGCAGTTGTATAGCATGAGGAGAGAACCCTCTCTGATCTTTTTATATTCCTGCGGCTGAAGATTAATGTGAAAAATCAGGGCTGTCCAATTTGTTGCTTGGTAAGTGCAGCGTGGGTTATATTATCATAGTTTTATTCAGGGTTGGATGTGGTTGGAAATAAAAACCAATCAAAAATAAGACCTATGGTGAGACAGTTCAACAGGGACTGAAAGGCGTCTCTGTCCAATCATGATGGCCTACCTTAGATACTGCAGAAGTATTAGAGGAAAAAGTCTGTAACTAATTTTATGTTTTTTACTTACAATTCTGAGAACTGCTATGGTCATGATATAAAATTAAGGCTGATTTGTGTGTTTTTCAGGTCAGCCAAACTGTTAATGAGTCCTGGCAGCAGTGAGGAAGATATAGACGACATTATTGATGAAATCTGTAATGACAGCAGCTTTACCAAAACACCACTGGTGAGTAGGAGTCTGGAGAAATGCAGAACAGATGAGTTCAGTGATGGAAAGAAAAGCACCATCAACTAAAACTGGTTTAAAGCAAAAAAATGAACTAAAACAAGCTGTAGGATAAACTTGGAAAAAAGCAGAAAGGAAAATGCAACAATCCTATAGTGAGAAACAGGAGAGATATAAAGAGATGGTCTTACCCAGCCAGTAACAGGCAATTAAATGAAATGATAGTTCAAGATAGAGCATAGTGTCAAATATCACAGAATCACAGAATGGTTGAGATTGAAAAAGGGACCTCTGGAAGTCATCTAGTCCGACTGCCTGCTCAAGCAGGGCTACCTACAGCCCAGGACTGTGTCTAGACAGCTTTTGAGTATCTCCAAGGATGGAGACTCTACAGCCTCTCTGAGTAACCTGATCCAGTGTTTGACCACCCTCACAAGAAGTAAAGAAGTTTTTTCATATGTTTAACTGGAATTTCTTGTATCTCAATTTGTGTGCATTGCCTCTCCTTCTGTCAATGGGCCCTGCTGAGAAGAATCTGGCTGCATCACCTTTATTCTTCCCCATAGTGTATTTTTAAACATCGATAAGATTCTCAACCCTTGTCTTCTGCAGGCTAAACAATTCCAGCTCTCTTAGCCTCTACCTGTATGTCAGATGGTCTAAATCCTTAATCACCGTTACGTCCATGTCTCTCTTGTACTGGGTACAGCACTCCAGACATGTCTGTAAGGCCGTGTCTGAACTACTGTGTCGAGTTCTGGGCTTCCCAGTACAAGACAGAGATAGAGCTACTGGAGAGCCTCCAGGAAAAGGCCATGGAGATGATTAAGAGACTGGAATACCTTTCATATGAGGAGACACTGAGAGAGCTGGGACTGTTCAGCCTGGAAAAGAGAAGGCTCCAGGGGGATGTATCAATATGTGTAAATACCTGATGGGTAGAGTAAAGAAGGGGCCAGACTCCTCTGTAGTGCCCAGTGACGGGGCAAGAAGCAATGGACACAAACTGAAACACATGAAATTCCATCTGTACACAAGAAAACACTTTTTTACTGCAAAGGTAGTCAAGCACTGGGACAGGCTGCCCAGAGAGGTTGTGGCGATTTTCAGAACCCAAATGGACACAGTCCTGGGCAAGCTGCTGAAGCTGACCCTGTTTGAGGTATCTCAAGAGGTCCCTTCCAACCAAAATGATTCTGTGATTCTGTCTCACCAGTGCTGAGCAGGGATGAAGGATCACCTCCCTTGATCTGGTGGCAACGTCCCTCTTAGCATAGCCCAGGATGATGGCTCATGGGCAGCTTATCATCAACTGAATTTCTCACAGCCTTCTCTGCAAAGCTGCTTTCTACCTAGCCAGCCTGCAGTCTGTTCTGGTGTATGAGGGTTATTCCTTCCCAGGGTTGGGAGTTTGCATTTTCCTTTAGTTGAGCTAAGTCATCATTTGACAGCAGGAGATGGAGATAAAGCCACAAATTTACATTGTCAAGACAGAGTGATAGAAGACATTAAAAACAGATACTCATTTAGGTATCGTCAGTAGAAAATTGTGTTACTTATACTTCACAACCCTCTATGCAAATCCTCTTACTTTCACGAGTCGTGTTGGTTTTGCTTTGTCTGTCTTTGATATCTCACAGAGTGGCTAAACCTGAGCCAACAAAAACAGTCATATACCACAATACGTATGTCTGAGTGAGAGAGAATTATGTCGGTAAATTTGTATCATTTGATCATTTTATATCCCTACAACTTCCCCTTTAGGATCTAGAAATCCAGTATTCTAGAATTCAAGTAAACTGTTTTATGTGCAACAAACAAGAAACTTTTCAAAGGTACTTTATCTTTTCAAATAACATAAGTTCCTGATGTGTCTTCAGTAAAACGAAAGCTCAAAAACATTGAGGGAGAATGTTCCTAAATTAAAACTGTTTTTAAAAGCAAAATTATTAAAAAGAGGGCACAAAATGCTAAGCCTTGATTGTAAAGTCAGTGATATGTGGTGTTGAATTCCTTCAGGCAGAGCTGGGAATTCAGTATGGGAAGAGAAGCCTTGTTCCTCATTTATCTGTTACTTCAGCAGCTTTTGTCCCAAAGATCCTCACAGAAAGCTGAGCAAGAAACTTCCCAAATTCTTAGTCCCTTTCTTCTGTGACTGAGATTTTATGTCTCCTGCTTATTAAGTAAACCAGAATATAACCTTGCTATAATGCTGCCTTTTATTCTTTGATTGCTTTTTAAGTAGAAATCGAAGTCTAACACTGCAAGTCTCACACCTGAAGGAAATAGTGCTGTTGCACGGGCTCATAGGAAAAGGTAAGTGAAAAATGTCTTGGCTAGTTGACCATACCTTGATTATAGTGTGTCAGTCTGATAACGTTACTACTGTTTAATCTGTTTGACATTAACTAAGAAAGAAACTGAGTATTTAGAGAAGCATTCTTTTTAAAGAAAAATAAAGATAAACAAAAAGATAATTTTGAAGAATTACTAATGTGCTTTCATGTGGTGAAAATTATTTATTATACATTTATTAATTATTTAAGTTATTGAACAACAGCTTCCTTTCCCTTGAGCGGTTGTTGTAGTTTTTCTTTGAACACCTTGGCAATGGAAATTTGAAAATTCTGTAGTTTGTAAGCATTGGGATGCTTTGCCTATATTTAATAAATATTGGTTTAGAAATACTGTGTTGTTAAACTAGGAGAAGCATTGTACATTCAAAAATGTTTTGCTATAATTTAATATTTTTAAATGAAATCCATATAGGTGCTGTCCAGTGTACCTGGGTGGAAGCTCTTCACCATGTGGCATAGGAACAAATATTTCAAAAAGGTAGGAAATGTGGAAAAAAATGTTCTATTTGCTTTATCATTATTTTATTCACAACTATGTTTTTTGTGGTGGCACAGAGCATTTGAACTGGACAGGACGCCTTACATTCATCTAAACATGTGTCTGCCTGTAGCTGCAGTTGAAGTCAGCTGGTCCCTTCCAGTCCTCTGTTGTTGACTACTAGATCTTTTGTTCATCTGAGGAGTTGAAAGATGTGTACAAATGAGCCATGAGACTCCAAAAATCAGCAACATGTAGTTAAGGAAATTGCTGCTGTAGAGTATTGTTATTTTTCCCTGCCTCTTTTCAGCTTTCTGTGGTGCTTAAATCTGGGCTGGTTTAAATCATTCCAGAGCAGAACCTAAACTGAAAATAGCCAGACTGCTTTGCAGCAGAAGCTGAAACTAATAGGAGAAATGCTTTAAAGAATTATCCCCAACGTCCTATAGAACATTGTTGCATTTCCATTTGGGATTTCCAGTAGTAAGTAACTGTGCACTTGATGCGTGTTTGGATGCTGGTCAGGTGCCATACCAGTGAGGAAGAGCAATAAGAGTATATTAAGAGAATATCAGTTTATTTTATGTGTTCAGTGAGGTTAGGAACCTGTAAAAAATAATACATGATCATATAGTTAAAACACAAACCATAATGTGCCAGAGATGTAAAAAAATGAAGAATACAGGGTAACCTTGCTTCTGGTATTTCTGTGTGGGCGCTGTACTTTAAAACAGCTATGATCTGTGTAGCTTCTCTGATTGTAATAAGCTCTTGGAGCTTTCTGTTCTTTTTTGACCAGAACGTGTGATCAACTACGTTGTACTGCTTGTGACTTCTGTGTATCACTTTTCAATGACTACATCTGGGATCAGTCCTGTGATTATCTTTTTTTCAGGTATGTCTGAGGTGGGTTTGGTATTAGTATTGCGTTACTGCACTTTGGGGCTTGATAGGAATGGGAAAGGTGAAAAGTTCTGAGCACTCCTGTATCACATAAAAACAAATATGTGTGCAACCTGTCTGGGCATCAGGTGGGAAATTCTGCAGAGCAGGGGATGTAGTAACATCTCCCATAATCTGTTTTCATGCCTTTCCATTTCTCTCCCCATCACTATCTCTCTCTGCTTTTAAAAATAATTCCAGCTTCGTGGATCAAAAGGCATTCGGACTGCTGAAATAAGCAGATAATGTGTGATGGGTTGGCCTCTGGTGTGGCACTGCAGGATGCCTACAAAATGAACAGACTGTTCAGCACGTAGTTCTCATCATACCTTCAGTCATGAAGTGCTTGTTTCAAGTTGTATTTTCTTTTTTCCGGTATCAAGTATTATGCTGCCATGTTCAGTGAAAATCAAATAGTTTGATTTCTTAACAGACTTCTTTTTAATCAAGGTTTGATTAAATGGAGGGGTGAATTTTTTGTTTACTTGTTATATATTGCGATGTCTTTGACTTTAATTATTTCAGTTATTTTTGAGGACTTAAAATTGAGAAGTTCCTATTTCCAATTTCTCTAAAATTGTATCCAGTGCCAAGACTAGTGAAGGGTAATGTAGTAGGCATGCTTCTAATACACACATAGAATTTGGATTCCTCTTATTTTAGTAAAGTCTCTGTATGCACCATTAACTGATGGAGGTAGTGGATGTGTTCAGAATATGTGCTTGGCCACCAGGGGGTGGGACAGCCGGAGTAGAACAGTAATGGATTATTATTTTTCTTGTATTACATGTTAGGTTTTTCCTGTATTTTCTTTCCAGTTTTGAAATCTGTATTTCTCTTTGAATGCATATCTTATTTTTTCCCATTATTTAAAGCAGCATTAAAAATACAGTGCTGTACTAGTCTCTTGAAAGGAGTTTGGTAGCTGGAAAGGTTAAATAAAAATATGATTATTTTATTTCCTCAAAGTCTAAATTATTCAGTCTCTGAGATCTTGAAATCAATAATTTAAAAAAAAAAAAAAAAGACGTAAAAGGCATTGGTTTGAGATACTTGTAACATTGATTAAAATCTGTAACCTTTAGCGAGTTATTTAGCTATTTATTTTGACTAACCTGATTTTTAAAGAGTAAGCGTGAAGATTAAACATTTGCCTTCCATGAATAGATGTCTGACCTCTTTTTCTAAAAATTCTTCCTTTAATGTTTGTTTTGGGTTTCCTTTATTTAGCTGGGCTTGTTAATGTTGTGTTTGAGCAATTCAGTGGCCAGTAATTGATGGCCAGGAGGAGGTCATGAGAGCAGGGGTAGTTAAAATGCTAAATGTTCACTTGTTTTTGAAACAACTTTGTTTTGTAATAGCTATGCTGATTTTCCATTTGTTGTGGTTGATGCTTGCACATGGATTATTTGTGGTTTGATGTACATTCTTCCCTTTCATAGCCATTTAATTTCAGTCACTTTAACAACCATCCTAAGTAACAATTCCCGATGAAAAGTTTAACACTGTCATCGTAGCCATTCTGCATAGGGATTTTTATAGTAAGTCAGATAAGATAAATACATTTTTGGATAATTTCTTCACACGAGAATTAACTCTACCTGATTTTCTTCCTCTTACTCTGGAGGCTGACACAGGGTCTCTAAACCTGACAGAAAACATTGCTTACAAAAACATCAAACTCCATTTGATCTGAGAATACAGCAACTACGCACCAAGACTGCTTGTCTTGGAAAGGAAAGAATTGTGTTCAAAACAGAATTTAAACATATCCCTAAATTAATTCATGGCAGTGGTACTCAGAGATGTTCTCAAGAGCTTTTCTGAATTGAAATGGCTTCATTAATCTTTTTCTTTAAAAAAAAATAAATACATGATTGTAAACTGCATTCACTTGATTGACAGGAATAACATGCCTGAACTCAGTAAACTTAGAGCGAAGATGATAAAGAAGAAAGGAGCACGAGCATATGCTTGTCAGTGCAGCTGGAGATCCATTGATGAATTAACTGACCTCCAAACAGACCAGCAGCTTCGGTGGGTTTGTGGTAAACATGCAGAATGAAGTCCTTTTGCGTGTGGTACCTACTTGTGTGGAAATAGGGTATAAACTTAATTTGTTTCACACACAGTTTTCTGAAAACAGATGGAAACGTGAGTACTTATATCTAGAAATAGATTATAACACCCAACTTCAACCTGAAAACTTTTTTCAGTTTAACTGTCTTGCAAGCAATATGGGCAGTTGAATTATTAGAAGAAACAACCAGTTTGGAGGCATTACAGAAGATAAATGAGGTTAAAGCTCACACACAGTAGTGTTAAAGAAAGGAAGAGGAAATCAACAGATTTAGGCATGGGGCAAAGCACCTTGAGACTATTCCTCATATCTAGCAGAGAGCCTTATTTCCTGTATCTGCAGAAGCTTGGACTCAAAGTGGTGGGTTGAGTTGCAGCCATGATGCACAAGCGTATGAATTTCTGCACAGAAACTAATACTGCTGTTCTGCTTTGCTCATAGCTGTTAATGGGCAGGTGGTTTTAGATCTCTTAAAAAATTACAGCAACATCAGCTCTCACCTCAAAGGTTTCAGTGCACCCCAGAATTTTACTTTCTTTTACCTACCAGTAGCCAAAAACTGCAGGTGCTGGAAATTTCCTTCCAGTTCCTACTGCTTTCTTCAAAACACTTTCTGCTGATTAAAGACTTTTACCACAGTGAATTTCTTGAACTTCCCTTCAGCCTTTACTGCAAGAAGCGAACAAGTTATTGTGCAATTATTAAACATTGTGCAATTTTAAAGAGTCTCTGAAGAACATATGACTGTCAATATTTTTAAGGGGCAAAAGGGTCCAGGCTTTTAAGAGTGAGAAAATATATGACCCCACTGATGTTCAAATTTGGATTTTTTTCAGTTTCACTTAGATTTCACTTCAGCTTTAATTCAAAATGCTACATATTCAGAAAGTGTAACTGTCCTGTTTCAATACACTCCCTTCCCCCAGTAACATCATAAAACTACTTCCAGTATCATGTTACTTGGTGAACTGTCTTGATTACAGTTAATGTCTGTATAGTTCATGAGCTCTTTCTTTTCATTATAAATAACACACAAGATGGGTTTGGGTTTTGGGTGAGCAGAGAGGAAGGAAAGGATTACCAGTCCTGGCAATTACTACATTGAAAAGTGTCTCAAAATGAGAAGTCTGTCAGTATTTTTGCTATGCAGTATGTGATACTGTACAGATAAATGCAAAATTAATTACTTTGTGCAATTCTAGCTCTAGAGAACCATGTCTTTTTTTGTGAAGTTTTGCTCATGGCCTTAATCTGTACATTGTCAATCTGCCGTTTTTCTGAGTTTTTCCAACACAATTGCATGGTCTTTCTTAGAGAGGTCACCTCTCAGATCTGTCGCTTTGTCTGTACCCCTCTGAAAGAGCAGATCCAGGTAGTGACCAGAGGCATAATGTACTCTGCACCCTGCTCACCTTCCCCCTTGGTGAGAGTATTTTTAGAACCTGCAGACGAGCAGTGTGCCCGGGAGGCCTGGCAGTGCTTACGTCCACAGCGCTTCGGTGCTCTGGGGTGCGTGTTCCAGTGCCACATGCAGCCTTGCTAGTAGGTTCAGAGGTGAGTTGGCTTTGGAGAGGTACTACTTGGCATAGTGATGTAGATATATTTAGGGTCATGTATTGTTTTCAATGCAATTGGTGTTTCAGGCTGAAGTTTTAACTGCTAGAGTCTAAAACTGCAGGTTCAGGAGACAGAAAGACCCAGAGACCAGCTGACCGATGCTCAATCAGCTACTGGAAGAGGTCTGCTTGCCTCTCCTTTGTGAAGAGATAGCCCCGGTGTGGACTGTAAGCAGTAGGTGTTCCTGGGTTTTCTTCAGGTGGGCCTGAACAATTTACATTCCTAGAGAACATGGCTCATGGTAAGAGAAGAATCCAGCAGTAGTATGTAATTTATGAACAAGTTCTAGTGAAGAAGAAACCTACTTTCCGTTCTTCTTCTTGAAGAAGAATGCATTTCAGAAAGTGCTGAGTTGCCTTGACTTGCCTGTTCCAAGGCCATTTGAAACTGATGACCAGGTATCCCCAGAAGATGCTCTTCTGGCCTGGATTTGCACTGGAACTCATGCCACATGTAGGGAACAAGTTGGGCTTGCAACCTGTGAGCAGGAAACGGGGAAAATCCTAACACCTATCTCAGTTCATGAGACCAAGTCTTACGTGACTTGGAAAAGGAGCGTGTCTCCTGTACCCTGTTTTAAACAGAAATAGTCATCCTCTCTGGAACAGTTTGTACTACCAAGTGTGTGAAGCAAAGCATGTGGAAACAAAAGTTCAAGGCATCCATTCTAGTGATTTTTATGACAACGAGACAGCCAGCAGCACTTGGAAAGCGGAGGCCAGGAAGGAATTGAGAGAAAAAGACTGAGTGTAGGAGAAGTAGAAAGGATTAACACCAATACCTATTGACAATGTTAGTCAGCATTTCTCCTAGGTCACCTCATCCCTCAGTCTTTTGTTAGCCCGGAGAGTTGTGGAAAGAGAGCTCTCTTTCTGGGTAGAGATTGTTGTTAGGCCGTTGTATCATTAGTGCCATTAAGACTGCACTCCAAGCGCTGCAAAGGTTAGAAGATAATCTTTATTGGTAAGCATATGTGGAAACCTGAGCGTTCCCCTGGAATCATCGTATTTATTCAAGTGTAGTTACTTGTTCCTGGCCTTGGTCAGAATGGTGGGCTGTGGCAGCTCTTTGTCCAAGTGAAGTTTTAAAGAAGTGCAGAAATAGTGCTTATTGTATTAATTTTCATTACAGAACTTAGTATATTTCTAGATCTGATAACAGCTAGTCTGTCATTAAATATAATTATTTCGTTGGAAATATTGGAGTGGTATTAAGTATTTGATTTCCCTTCCTTTGCTTTCTTCAGTTCTGTGTTACAAACCGCAAAAAAGTCCTCAAATAAAAAGAATGTAAAGAAAGGTAAAATTAGAGCTTGAATGTTCATTTGATGAAGGTATTGTAAGATTGCACAAGGTTTCAGAGATGTAGCCCAGACCCTAACTGATACTTCCGTGTCAGTTATCTGAGATGGCAGGGATTATGTAAAGAATTTTGTTGAAGAATGCCATTCAGCTGTTGTCAAACGGAAGTACTGGAGAGCAGTTTTGCTAAGTATAAATGTGACCATTGTTTTCCTCCAGTTTTTTTGCTTTGGAAGTAATAATACCATTTCTGTTTGTAAAATGGGCAAGGTGAAAACTTGAGACTTTCATTTTACTTAGGTGATATGCTTGGAAATTTTCTAGCCTGCAGCATTAGTCTGCAGCAGATCTCTCAACAAAACAAAAGCAATGGAGGATGACAAAATGAGAATCCATGCAAAAGCATTCACTTGGAAACATATCAGTGGTTTAATGTCACACCAGCTTTTCTAAAACTGTGTTCCTGCAGTGTTTCTGGATAGGAATCCAATTCAGGTGTACATAGTACATTTTTATAGCTTTTCTTTATCAAATGTTAATGTGCTGTTCTGACTATATCTCACTTGTTTTACCTGCAAAGCATGGAGGGTGTCTGACCCAGGTGCTGAATGTAACTCAGAAGAGTAATTATTAAGAATCTTGTCCTCCCATTAAATTTAACTTGCAGAAGCATAATAGCATTACATATTGGAAGATCTTCACTGTATAAAATTGAATAAAGACACTGCTTTTTTTTGTTTCAGTTTTGTATTTAAGGTACTTTGCAAATGCTAGACACTGTAAGCTGCCACTTGTTGAAAGACCACTCGGTTCTCTTGTGTCCTGACATGTGAGTCTTTGGGTCACGTAACCAGCACATACGGTACTCGCACAATAGGAGAGGGACTGTGTCGGGAGCTGTGTGGGCAAATTTTTCTCCCTGCCAGACTCTTTTAGCACAAGACCTGACCAGTTTTTTCTGTTGTGTGACACCCAATAACTGCAGACAGGCCAACCTGTGGGGGATGGAGAAAAGGAGTGTGAGGTGCTGCTCATTCGTGAGGACCACATATGATGCCTCCAACTGGACACGTGTGCTTCAAGGAAAAGTATTTTTCAAATGTTGACACTTCAGTAAAATGAAAAGTTGGAACAAATCTGAATTGTGCGTTGTGTGAATTCTATTGTGTTGTTCCTATCCAAGAGAAACCTTATAAAAATGATGGAGGACCATGTTTTCTCTCAGAAGGGTTATGAAATGCTCTTAGTACAGAAACATTGTCCAACTCATAAAAAACAGTGAGTACTGTTGTGTGTGGTTTCTCACATCAGTGGGGATGCAGCAAACACCTGAGAGTGAAATGAGCTTCAACATTCTTTACCAGGTAACATGAGGAGAGCACATTAAATTATAGAGCGCTCATAAAGGTGGATGCATTTACATTTCTTGGATCTTTACCTAGGATAAAAGGTGAAGCCAGCGGCTGTGAAAGGTGACATAAACTTCTTGCAGAGTGGGATGCTGGTACCTTTGTACATCAGTCAAGGCAGGTTATCACTAGCATCATAAGGAGGAGATCAATCAAGGAACCACAGCATGTGCTCTCCCCTGGATCTCGCTGTAGAAAACCATTCTTAGTGCCAGGAAGAAGTTGCTGTACATATGGGAGTTGGAACAACTCTTGTTTCTCCATCATGAAGAAATGCTGCATGGCATACATTAGAGTAACAGACACAAATATTTCCTGTACTCCATTCTGAATTTGGACTCCAGGCATTGGTGCTATTCAGGCAATAATTACTTCCTGGACTTGGTGGGCAGCGTGGACTCGGTGAGGACACACAGAAAACACCCCCTGACTCAGGAGTACTCCTGACTTATTTACAACTTGTCACAAGTGTCACGGTACACCACTAGAAGACAGTGCCCATGTGTATTCAATTCACATTGACAACTTTTTTCTGTTGTGTTAGAAGTGCTTTAGATGTCATTTAGGGTAAAATGTGTTTATACAATCTAGTCTGCAGAGGGCAGAGCAACACCACTGAGCGATAGGCTTCTGCTTCACTAATACAAGCTCATACTTTTTTATTTTTTGAATAATGAAGGTTTACGTTTAACTGACCACAGCTTCTCACATTTGTCTGCTATTTGTGTGATTATAAGTGGGGTAGCCAGATCTATGGCAACTCCACTTGGTTTTTGTGTGACTTCATCCAAAGGTTCCTTTAGAGGTCCTTGACCAGTGCTAAAGCAGATTAAATTTTTTAGCTGCCAGCTAAAGTGTGAAAACTGAGTCTCTCTGTGTGTGTGTATGTAGGTATATGTATGTATGTTTCTCCTCTAATAACATCAGTAGGAAAACTAAATCATGTCAGGATTTATCTTTCATCCTGCCCAGATTAATTTTCCCTGAAAAGGTTGTTAATTAGTTTTGTCAAGTAGAGGTTGTGTACGTTAGGATCTTCTAACATTCACTACAAAATTTATATGGCACATCACCCACGATGTGAAAAGATGGCAGATCTTGAAATAGTAAAATGCCAAGATTTAGAAATACCAAAAAAATTGTTTCTGTCTATGTAGGAAAACAATGTAGACCAGAGATGCTGCAGAGCAGTCAGAAATGGCAGTGAGAATAGTCCAGAGACCTGCACCCTGCAGTTACTCAGCCACGAGCCATGGCTAAGGTTTTGGTGAAGCCTCACTCTCTGAACTCTTTTCTGGTTCTCTGGGAATCCAGAAAGTGTGAATGTATAAAGCAGATTTATGGTGGATGGAAGTAAATGTGATCTCTGATAACCAGTGGAGTTGTGTCTATTTCTGTACAAGTGATGAGGTGCTTTTAACTAGAAGCACAAACATCTAAAGCGTGTAACTAGAGTTTGCTTATTTCACTGGTATAGGGAGTATCATCTAAATTTAGCCTAGTTACACCATAGGTGAGTGATCTCTGTAACAATTTTTTACTTCCTTCCTTCTAATAGGAGAAATAGTTGAACAAAAAGTTTAGTAGGGAAAACAGGAACAAGCAAGGCTGAGTAGCACACTGCAAGAGGTTCCATATAGAAAGGTTTTGTGAAAACATTTTTCAGGCAAGAAGTAAGCCATTGGTTTTTGTTTGCTTCTGAACTAAGGAAGACACACCTAAGTGAAAGAAATAAAAATAGCATGCTGCAGGGAGATGTTCAAATGCCCATAATTTGCCACAAGCAAGCACAAAACTTCATATGGGAAGTGTCCTTTCTAGGAGACTTTAGGATTGCAATTCCAAGGGCTGGTCCAGAAGATGGGGATGAATCCACGTCCCCCTCCCCATCCACTGCCCTTCTGTCACTTCCATCCCAGGAACCTGAGCTGCATAGAGAAGCAAAGTGCAGGAGGCACTTCATCCTCAGGGGGTACCAGCTGGCTTCCACGTGAGGATGCTGTGGAACACGAGCTGTGTATGGTTCATTTGGGTTTGGGGTTTTTTTCCTCTAAAATTTGTGAGGAGGGTTTCCCACAGTATTTTTAAACATTTTCTGGTGATAGGTTTTACATATAAGAGTTAAGGTAATCATATATTCAGATATTAAGATATAAGAGCTAAGATATTCAGGGCTGCTAAAATCCTCTTAGCCAGTGGTTTGTAACTGTTATTCAAATATAAGCAAATGATCTTGAAGATTTTCATGAGAATTTAGTGAAACTGAAACCCTCACAGCCTCAGAGCTTATACTAAAGAACTGGGAAGCAAAAAGGAGGAAGACATTTTCATACTGGTCAAACAAATGCATAATATTCCAGCTCCAAGTAGCTTAAATACATCTATTTAAAAATGTGGTTGTCTACAGAGGGGAAAAAAAATGTTAACTCCCTCTTGAATGGTGGTAGGTTATTTATAAAGTATCCAGAGAACTTTTCAATCTTTATTTAAAGGCCAGCAGTATGACCTTACTCTAAGACAATGCAATATATGTGATAGTAATGAAATACAGCAAGCCTACATCTTTCAGCTAATGCAAAGAAGCTTTGGGATAAGTCAGCAATCTGACTGTGCTCAGCAGCCTGTGTCCTGACTGCCCTGATGTGAACAGCATTCTCAGGAAGGGGGAAGCAGCTTCCAGAGACAGGAAGGTTGAATTTAGCATCAAACTCCTTATCTAGGCAGAGCGGGCTGCTCAGGATGCTGGTAAGAAAAAGCGTGCAAATGGCTCCAGCAGACTGTGGCCGCTGCCTGGCCCTTCCTGGGAAGAACATTCACATCGCTGTAATCAGGGTACAACCTTGCACGTGCAGGTGGTCTTAGGAAGGGATTATATCCTGAGGACAGCTATCCAAAATAAGTCTTACCATGGTGTATCACAGTCTTATCCCGTCTCGGTTACCATCACTTGCAGGAAGAGATTGATCTGCATGCTGAAGTAGGAGGGTGTGTGTTTTTTAAAAATAAAACTTTATCGCAGTAAGCATTATTATTAATCATATTGGCCCTAAAGAAATGCAAGCTTTTCCTGAATCCTAATATGCACCGCGATACCTGGTTTATATCAGAACTGGCACAGCTCTGTTCCAGCACTTTAGAGATAAAAGCTGTGGCAGCATTGTTTTGTGAGCTTTGAATCGGTGAGGTGTCTTGTTTATAAGTGGAAGATAAACAGCTTCAAAATGTTCTTTGCAGTGTAATCAGTTGCTCATTAACACGTGATACCCGGTTTCCTTTTGATATCTGTGTATATCTTGAGAAATCCATCTGCTCTGGGTCTACAGCACAGCAAGGCACCATTCAATCAATACCTGCTCCTCAGTCACTGAAATTAATAGTTAACACAAAACTGTAGGATCCTCTGTATTGATTTTCCTACGAACAATGACTCTAATTTCTCCCATCTTCCCCAGTGTATACTGCAAAATTATTTCAGATTTTCTCAAAGCTTTATTCAAGCTAAGATTGAGACTTGGAAACACTTTAAAGTAGTCTTTTAGTTGCATCTTCCCACATATGTCTGAAACACCTCTTTTCATTATTTTTTTTTTCCATGCTAGATATATATTTAGTTCAATTCCGGTAAGAAGGGCTGGAAACAATTAAACTAGGAAAAAGGAGAGCGGTATAAAAGAGTCTACCCGTGTCCTGAAGAGCAATAAAGTAGATCTGTCCTGGGTAATTGCAAAGAGAACAGTCTGGATCTGAATTGCTGAAATTAGTTAAACCAAGAAGATATTGGGGCCCATCTGTTCTGCAAACAGAAATGTGCACATCACCAAGCTCCTGAACACAGGAAGATATGGTGACAGAGTTGTCAGCAGTCTTAGCACCCAGAGTACCCAGCCAGGTGCTTCACGCAAAGGTTGCTAGTGTAAGCTAAAATCCTTAATTGCTCTGTTTTTGCAAAAGATTTTTTTTTTCCCCATGGTATATTGGAAATCCCTCTTAAAACCTGGAGAGCATTACTTCTTTATAAAGAATATGTTTGTAAAGTGGATAATTTCCAGATGTCAAATCGTTTCTCAGACCTTGCAATAACAATTCACTACTCAGGGTTCTCGGCCAGCGCTGGGCATGTGGTTACCTTGGGTATTTTCAGGATCCATCGTAAGGCAAATGACACCTTTAAATAGGGGGAAAATGAACAACCTAACAGGCACCTTACAGCAGAGAGCACCTCATCAGGTTTGTCCCAACACATTCTCACGTCATTGTTCAATAGGGTAACAGGCCATAAAAGAACGAAGCAGCTACTTTCCTTTTCTGTCAGATGTTGCAAGTTACTCATATTTCCTGTTCTGCTATTTAAAGGACTAAGGGCTGAAAATGGGAGTTCATTAACATGTCTGAAATGAAATATTATTCTGTCTTTCTACAGCCACGCTCAAATGAATGACATAAACACAGGCCTGGAAGGCACTGCCGAGGATCGGGTAGTGCCTTCTGCCCAGAGACAGGACTAGCCCTGCTGGAAGCCAAGGCTGCACCCTGGTGCAGGTTGTCAACAGAAATCTCCCTCTGATCTGCCAGGACACACTATATGTCAAAGAAAGAGAGACCACGAGTTTCTGTGCCAGCTGCCCGGCGGGTCCCAGGAGGGACGGGAGGAACATCCCTCTCTCCCTGCTGCCTGGTGGGTTGGGCTGTACTTTAGCCAGGAACGGAAGTA